GCCTGTCTTTCCTCTGCGCTCACTCAGACCTGCTGAACTAATACCTTGAGAACAACCAAAAAGGCAGGGGCAACCTGCCTGGGTCCCTCCTTAATCAAATACTGCCTTTTTTCCCCCCTAGGGTCTTAAGAGCACAAACAACATCACATTCATCTCTGTAACCCCCCTCAATATTGAGGAAGGGAAAACCAGCCATGCCATCCATCAGGTTGAGATAACAGACACAGATTTTTTAAAGACAGCTGCAAAGTTCCCAGTAAACAGTATTTCTCCCAAGGAAATGCTGAAAAGTACCATGTGATCCCTTCTCGGAAAGACTACTGCTGTCTTACTCACTGGAAAACCTGTCCTCTAAAATCAGACTATCAGAAACTTGGCTGTTTGAAATTATTTCAGTAAGAATGAAACCCCTTCAGTCTTGTCTGGAATAACTACAACACTCTGACACAGAAAAGCAAACTTGATTTACAGCCCAGGTGCAGACATTTAGATGTCCTGTCTGGACACAGGAGTCCACATTTAACCTAACTTAGTGTTTTCCGAGGAAATATGACCTTGGGTCCATTTTGGTTTAGACCTGCTGTGACCCTTTTATTACATTCGCTTTGCATTGCTTTAAATGCATTAAAACACTGTTTCATCTGAATGTTATCCAGATTCTATCCTTCCCCCAAATTCTATGATAACTCTAACTTTCCCCTTTGTTTGTTGAGAAGCTCCATAATGACTCTACTGTGTGGATGAGACAATAAACCTGACTTTGTCAAACTGCAGGTTTGTCCCTAGTGGTCTTAGGCTGATTGGGCTCTGACAATAACAGGCACAGAGATTCACGTGTATTGGAAGGAAATTCTGATGGGTTTACTGAATAGTCAATATGGACCATGAAACAGATGAAGATACGGCATAAGCAGAGGTGAGCAGTTTTCATTATACTAAGTGAGTATAATCATTTCTGCAGCACTATCCCACTGTTTTCCCAAGAACAGGTAGAAACGAGAAAGTGATCAACTTGTTTGTAAAGTGTACAGTTAGTGGTTTTACAATACAGTCACAGAACTATGCAGTCATACCCACTCTCTAAGTTCAGATATTTTCATCATCCCCAAAGAAACTTGTCCCCGTACCAACCACTACCCAACCCCTCCTCTGCACATCCTCTGGCCACCACTAATCCACCTTCTGTCTCCTTGGATTTGCCTATTACTGGACATTTCCTATGAATGTAATCATACAATATGTGGTCTTTGGTGATTGGCATCTTTCATTGTACCATAGTCCTCCATTTTGTTTCATTTCTGATTTTTTTGCCTAATAATATTGTATGAATTCTCCATATTTCATTTATCTGTTCAGTTGATGGACATAAGGGTTATTTGCACATTGGGGCCATTATGAATTGTGCTATGAATATTCATGTATATGTTTTTATGTGAACAAATTCTTTTAATTCTTTTGGGTTTATACTTAAGAGTGAGATTGCCAGACTATAAGATAACTCCATATTTAACTTTTGAGGAACTGCCAAACTGAGAGGTCTTACACTAGCACTAGGACCCATCTTTTGAAGGAACTCTTACTATTATATATAAGCCAGTCATTATCTGCTTGGTCCTTAATACAATTTTAATTTGGACAGATTTATACTAGTCATGTCATAAGTATCAACATGTAAACTTATTTTGAATTTTTTATCAAAAAATGTGACTGAACAATTTTACATTCCCACCAGCAATATATGGGTTTTCCAATTTCTGCACACCCTCATCAACACTTGTTATTGTCTGTCTCTTTTATTATAGCTGTCATGGTGAATGTGAAGTGATATCTTACTGTGTTTTTGATTTGCATTTTCCTCATGACTAATGATGTTGGATATCTTTGCATATGCTTATTGGCCATTTATCTATCTTCTTTGGAAAAATGTCTTTTCAAATACTTTACCCAGTTTTTAATTGGGTTATTTGTCTTTTTGTTGTTGAGATTAGGATATCCTTTATATATATTGTATATAAATAGTATGCAATATAAGTATATATAGTATTACAAGCCCCTTATCAGATATATATATTTGCAAACATTTTCTCCCATTATATGTTTGCTTTTTCATGTTCTTGATAGAGTCTATTATAACACAAAAGTTTTCAGTTTTGATGAAGTTCAGTTTATCTCTTGTTCATGTGTTGGTATGAGATCTAAGAATCCACTGCCAAGGTCATTAAGATTTACCTGCATGCTATCTTATAAGAGTGTTATAGTTTTAGGTCTAATTTTGATCATTGACTCATTGGGAATTAATTTTTGTATAAGGATTCAATCTCATTCTTTTTTATGTGACTATCCAGTTGTTCCAGCCCTTGTCTATTGAAAATATGATTCTCTCTTCACTGTTGTCTTAATATCCTCATTGAAAGTTAATTGACAAATGTACAGGTTTGTTTTTAGACTCAACTTTATTCTATTGATCTATATAATTCTCCTTATTTGATATTCTCATGATTGCTGTAGCTTTCCAGTAAGTTTTGAAATCAGGATATTTGAGTCCTCAAACCTTATTCTCTTTCTCAAGATTATATTGGTAATCTGAGTCACTTGCATTTTCATATGAATTTTAGGATCAGCTTATCAATTTCTCCAAAGAAACCATCTAGGATTTTGATAGAGATTGAACTGACTCTATAGATCAATTTGGAAAGAACTGTCATCTTAACAATAAGTTTCCACTTATTAAGGTCTTCTATAATATCTTTTGATGATGTTTTAGAATTTTTAGTAGGCAAGCCTTTCACTTTTGTTAAATTTATTCTTATGTATTTTATTATTTTTGATGCTCTTATAAATTGGACTGTTTTATCTTTCATTTTGGATTGTCCATTGCTAATACATAGGGATGCAGTGACTTTTTGTATATTGATCACGTATTCTGCCACTTTATTGAAACTGTTTATTAGCTACAGTATTTGTCTATGTGTGTATTCCTTAGGATTTTATACAAACAAAATCACATCATATGCAAATACAGTTTTACTTCTTCCTTTCCAACCTAGATGCCTTTTATTCCTATTCTTGTTTAATTGCCCTAACTGGAATCCTCAGTAAATATTAAATAGAAGTGATGAGAGCAGACATTTTTGTTGTCTTATTCCTGATACTACAGGTAAAAGCTTTCAGTCTTTCCCTGTTAAGTGTGATATTAGCTGTGGGGATTTCATAGATGTCTCAGTCTACTAATTCAGATGCTAGTATCATCCAGAAATACCCTCACAGACACATCCAGAATAATGTTGGGCCAAATGTCTGGGCACTTGCATTGTATTAATAACAAGACAATTCAAATGTATAAAACAAAATAAAATAATCATCTCCCTTCATTCCCTCTCATTTTCCTTACTCACCTTTCCCACACCATCCTTGTATCTATCCCCAGGGAAGCAGTATTAACAGTCACTTTTAAAAAATGTATAACTTTTACACCTTTCTCCCTGATTTTACACACATACAACCATGATAACATTGTTTCTTTTCCCTGAAAACTAAATCAACTGAATTTATCATGTCTGAGTTTTGAAAATACTTATAACAAGGACAATAAAAAGTATATCTTTCAAAAAAAAAAGTATATCTTTCTGGGAAAAGAAGTTTTACATAGCTTATTTTTCCTGTTGCATACTTAGTGTACAAAATACTAGAACTTAGTCATGGGATACCCTAGAGTAAATTCCTAAAAATTTGAAATTAATGAAAAGATTTCCATATGATTTAACAGACACTCTATTCCTTGACCACACTTAAATCCTTGCAATATATCCTTTTCATCAGTAAAGTAGGTTTTGAATATAGCTCTGCATGCTAACATCATCAGCTAAGTACAGATAAGAAGTAAAGACATTTAATCTCTATGAAGTTCATTCTCTGCCATAATTACTAGTAATATAAAGCAGACTCTAAAAATAGATTACCTGAATCAAAAGAATAACAGCTTTAAAAGAAAGCATATCATTAAGTGATAAGGCTGCATAGTTAATAATCCCATGAATGTCTCAGACTGATGAGGCATGGAAAAATTTCAGGCACCTTGAAAACATTTTCACACCCTGGCTCCATTTTCCCTCTGCAGGCATTTTACTTGGCAAAATCCGACCCATCCCACGATGTTCAGCTCAGCTGTCATATTCTGTGGGATGCTTTTCTTCACTGACCTGCCCACCACTAGATTAGTCACTTCCACATCTGTGCCTGCATGACGCTCTGCTGACACTCACATCATCCCAGTTAATCCCACTGCAAGTGTCAGCTAGGGTGAGGTTTCTCTTATCTTCTGAACTGTCAGCAAAATGTGGTAAAGTTTTATGGTGTCCTTGCTCTTTTGAGCACATGTGAATACACACACACAGAAATGCACCAACAGTTACACATACGTAAAGTGAGATATGGAACCTAAATGTCAGTTCCACTATTTTCTGTTCCTAATTCCTTCCATTAGACTTTTTCTTAATGTATACATATCTGGCTTCTCTAAATGTATTTGTTCTTCTACAACCTGAGTGGAATGATCTGTATCTCTATTTTCCTTCCTTGTCTAACACAGAAAATATTTAAGGTTTTTAGTTTGCTTCAAAGTAAAGTTTTGGCAGAAAAATTTTAAAAAAATTATTATGTGCCCTTCTGGTTATCATTATTGTCAAATAATTCTATAACATCTGCTTTAATTTCTTTGACTGATAAGGTTTTTAAGGGATGTTTTTATTTATTTTCTTTTTGAGGCCAACTGGTGGGGCTTTGAGAATATACATTTATTATGCATTTCTGATTTTACTATATTTGGGTCAGAGAATATGGGTCTGTACTGCTTCTATATCAAGAACTCCAGGTTTTGTCTGTAACCTGTTTTCAGAGCCCTTTAGAAATACATGACAAACTATTAAAAGTTTGCAAATTTGGCTCTCGCTTCCTCCGGGATCTTCTGAGAGGGCGCATGAACGGCTCCCTGCAGACTGGTCATGGCGCTTCACGTCCCCAAGGCCCCGGGCTTTGCCCAGATGCTCAAGGAGGGAGCGAAGCATTTTTCAGGATTAGAAGAGGCTGTGTACAGGAACATACAGGCTTGCAAGGAGCTGGCCCAGACAACTCGCACAGCATACGGACCAAATGGAATGAACAAAATGGTTATCAACCACCTGGAGAAGTTGTTTGTGACAAATGATGCAGCGACTATTTTGAGAGAGCTAGAAGTACAACATCCTGCTGCAAAAATGATTGTGATGGCCTCTCACATGCAAGAGCAGGAGGTTGGAGATGGCACAAACTTTGTTCTGGTTTTTGCTGGAGCTCTTCTGGAATTAGCTGAAGAGCTTCTCAGACTTGGCCTGTCAGTTTCAGAGGTCATAGAAGGTTATGAAATAGCCTGCAAAAAAGCTCATGAGATTCTTCCTGACTTGGTATGTTGTTCTGCAAAAAATCTACGGGATGTTGATGAAGTGTCATCTCTACTTCATACCTCCGTAATGAGTAAACAATATGGTAATGAAGTATTTCTGGCCAAGCTTATAGCTCAGGCATGTGTATCCATTTTTCCTGACTCTGGCCATTTCAATGTTGATAACATCAGAGTTTGTAAGATTCTGGGCTCTGGTGTGCATTCCTCTTCAGTATTGCATGGCATGGTTTTTAAGAAGGAAACTGAAGGCGATGTAACATCTGTCAAAGATGCAAAAATAGCAGTGTACTCTTGTCCTTTTGATGGCATGATAACAGAAACTAAGGGAACAGTGTTGATAAAGAGTGCTGAAGAATTGATGAATTTTAGTAAGGGAGAAGAAAATCTCATGGATGCGCAAGTCAAAGCTATTGCTGATACTGGTGCAAATGTCGTAGTAACGGGTGGCAGAGTGGCAGACATGGCTCTTCACTATGCAAACAAATACAATATCATGTTGGTGAGGCTGAACTCAAAGTGGGATCTCAGAAGATTATGCAAAACAGTTGGTGCTACAGCTCTTCCTAGACTGAATCCTCCTGTCCTTGAAGAAATGGGACATTGTGACAGTGTTTACCTGTCAGAGGTTGGAGATACACAAGTGGTTGTATTTAAGCATGAAAAGGAAGATGGTGCCATTTCTACCATAGTCCTTCGAGGCTCTACAGACAACCTGATGGATGATATAGAGAGGGCAGTAGATGATGGTGTTAATACTTTCAAAGTTCTCACAAGGGATAAACGTCTTGTACCTGGAGGTGGAGCAACAGAAATTGAATTAGCCAAACAGATCACATCATATGGAGAGACGTGTCCTGGACTTGAACAGTATGCCATTAAGAAGTTTGCGGAGGCATTTGAAGCTATTCCCCGGGCACTGGCAGAAAACTCTGGAGTTAAGGCCAGTGAAGTAATCTCTAAACTCTATGCAGTACATCAAGAAGGAAATAAAAACGTTGGATTAGATATTGAGGCTGAAGTTCCTGCTGTAAAGGACATGTTGGAAGCTGGTGTTCTAGATACTTACCTGGGAAAATACTGGGCTATAAAACTGGCTACTAATGCTGCCGTCACTGTTCTCAGAGTGGATCAGATCATCATGGCAAAACCAGCAGATGGGCCCAAGCCTCCAAGTGGAAAGAAAGACTGGGATGATGACCAAAATGACTGAATGGCTTCATTTTTACTGTAGGTGAAGGTTGTATTTGTAGTAGTTCTATAGGAATTGCCTGATGTTTTCATATTCTCCTTAAATTAAGAAGTGTTTTGTGTTTGTATCTTGTATCCTTGAATGGATGATACAATAAACGTTACTATCGAAGCCAAAAAAAAAAAAAAAAGTTTGCAAATTTGACCCAGCAATTCCAAACCAAAGATTTATGCTTATGAGCATAATTGAAACAATTCATAAAAATGAATGTACAATGCTTTTATCAAAATGCCATTTATTATAACAAATTTGGAGATTTTCTAAATTTCTCATAATAGGAGACTAAGTAAAATATGATACATTCATATTTTATTATATTTGTATTTTCCTTTTTATTATCTGTCCGATTTTATTTTTTCAGCTTTTTGAGGTATGAGTGACAAAACTGTAGTTATTTTAAGTGTACAACACAAAGATTTGATACACTCATACATTGCGGAGGGAGTCACACAATCAAGTTAATTAACTGTTCTTTTGCCCACTGAACATTCACAAGATAACTTGTGTTCTTCAAATCAGCCAATCAGTGACAGCCTCGCTGCAACACCCCACACTTGGGAAAGTCAGCAAATCACAGAGCGCCCCTAAGCTGCTGAAACTGAGCCAATCATTGACAGCCAGTACGTGTCAGCACACCAGCTCACAAGGTAATTGTCGAGGGTGTTTTGTCCGTAATGGATGTTCAGTGGACAAAAGAGCAAACTAAGCTGAATGTGACCACTGTAGAAACCATCTTACAGTGTAAATGAAACACAGATTCATTGTGAATGAAAGGGAACACAGAACTTACACAAGTGAAGCAAATGTAAATGAAACACGGGGCTTACACAGCAACTGAGAAATGGCTCAAGACAGCTGAACTGGTCAGGCTTGCAGAGACCACCAGGTCATCATGGGACAGATAGGCAGAGTGGGCAAAGAACACAAGGGTTTTTTTTTTTTCAGTAACAGTAGCTTCTATTTTTGTTGAAAGAATTTCCAGCTGGGCATCCCCATCCTTTTGGTGGTTTCATTATTGTCATGGGTTAGAGCATAGACTCAGTGAGCTGATGTAGACAGACATGAGGCCCATATATGCTTCATCAGTCTTTCTAAGGAAGTTATTTTCCTCTACATGTTGTTGCTTTGTTAACTATTCCACAGAGGGTGCCTGCGGACAGTGTGCTCAGCAGCCAAAAATGGCATCTGAAGTTTAACCCACTGTTTAGCATGCCTAGTGCTGTGGGCCGCTGTGATGTATGGCTGCGGCGTTCCATGGGGTTTGCCCATCTCAGAAGCAAGCGATATCATCAGTGAACCCTGCTTTTTCATTATATGGAGGTCTTGTCAAAAAGACGCCAGTGAGCTAACTGCTTAGGCTGAACAGTAAGTTGGTCTCTCTGAGTTTAATGGGTGGGCAAGTAAGCTGTTTCTGAATTTGGCTAAGGCATCAGGAACCAGGCTTGGGCCCTGGCTAGAGGGACCATCTTCATATCACTGCAGAACTTGCTGGATACTCTAGTGCAGATGGTTCAGGACCCAGTGCAAGGTAAGAATGTCAGGTGGCAGAGTCATTTTCCTTTCAATGACCATCCTGTTTTTCCAGAATGGGCTAGTTTCAGGCTCGACAACAGAAGGAAGTCCTTGTAGACTTGGCTGATGAGAAAGTAGAGCCCCATTTTCACAGTCTCCAACCTATTGTGAGATTGAACCCTGACATCTGTGAGTCCATGGGTCTGAAGGAGATAGGAGGAGGCCTCCAGCTCAAGGTTTGCTTCCCTGATGACTGGATAACTTTCCAGGGCTTCTTGCCCCAGGTGCCCCCTCCCCAAGTGTGGTCGCTTATCTGGTATATAAAGGCTGTAGTGCAGTTCCTATGTGTAGAGAGTGTTGTTTCCAAAATAGGCCAATCAGAGGCTGGGCCTCCATTCCTATGGCTGTTAGCCACACAGGAAGCCCTCACAAAGGTCCCATGACCATTTCTTCTTTTCTTTTCCCCCTCTTATACAGATCTATTGATGTTTAGTTGATATATACCAAAAGTTTTACATATTTACTAATACATTTTGATGAGTTTGGGCATATACAGAAAAAAACAATTACAGTCAAAACTCCAGGTGGGGGAGGTTAAATATCCTAGTTCTTCCTTTCTCCCGCCTTCCCCAGTTGCTGACCAGAAGCCGGATAACTGGGGAGCCCAGATGAAGGAGTCCATAGAGGTCAGCCTCTCAGGGCAGAGAGATGAGCAGAGATCAGAGGCTGAATTTTCCCTTCTTCCTGGAGAGTATCCCCTACCCCCTAAAAAAAAGTATCAGCCCATCCAAGCCCACATACAAAGCATCCCACTGGTTCAGCCACTCTCATGATGTCTTTCAGGCACTACAGGAAAACAGTCCACAATCTGACCGGCATAAACCTCAAAAGGACACAGAAGGACTCCAAACACCATGTCCCCCTCAGCCTACCAGCTATTGAATTGGTGGATGGCATTATCTGGCACCCTGAACTATATAACATCTTGTATGAGAACACAGCATTTTCTTTGACCCTGGGAGAAGCCATTGTTTCCATGATACAATCTTGGGAAACTAGGGGATTACAGACCATTCACCCTTAGTATTCACTGTTTTAGAAGCCACCAACTGGGGACACTTTAAATGTGTTCAATAGGCAGGTCCATTCACCGTGCATCCAGAAAGTCCACACTAATTACACAGGCTGCAAGAAAATGAAAAGCATGTTCCAGACAAAACAAAACAATACACATATGCTTTAGCAAATTCAGGAATATTGAAAGTCTTGCCCATGAAAGGAGCATAGGACCAAATCCCAGAACCTCATTCATATGACTGCTGGAACCATACGTTTACATCCAGGTTTATTAGCCATGGGTTTTCCTGTGTTTGTACCACAGAAACAGCTAAATCCATTCCAGATTTTTGCATCGGCTCATCAGGCTGGATGCCTTTCTGAGCAGCATTGGGCAGCCCCTAATCTCCCTACCACCCTATAATTATATTCTCCCTGCTTTCAGCCATGAACCATGAGCATGCTCTGAATTTTCCTGAGCTCCACAGAGGCAGGCCTCCTTTTCACCAGTCACCAGCAGCCTTTCACCCGGGTGTTTTTTTTTTTTTTCTGGATGACGCACTTGTTTGGGGGAGCTGGTGACTGGTAGTTCCATCCTGGTCTTCCCACCCCCTCATCTCCTGGGCTCCCAATGCCAGGCCTGCCCCACCACCACTAGAAGAGCTGACAACAAGGCTTGCATGGTCCAGTTCCAGGCCTGCCCTACAACCTGACGGGACCCCCTGAGAACTTCCTGAGAACGTTTCCTGTCTCTGAGAGGCCCAGTTGGTCAGGGCCATTTCCACAAACACTTAGCATGAGACAAAGCAGTGTGTGACCTCCAGGTTACCTCCAGCAGCTACTGTTCATGGGCTCAGGACACACACCACCAAGGCCATGCAGTATAAATACAGAATGTTGGTATGGGTCTATAGGCAGAGGAAAGGAGGAAAATATATAAAAATGCCCTATTTCCATGCCCACTCCCATCTTCCTCCCCATCTCAGTTCACAGGTTTCACTGTCCCACTGGGAGGTGCATCTAGGCTGGGCAGAAGAAGACATATCCCAGAGAGTGGTCAATACAGAGGGACCCTAAACTATGATGCGTAACATATGGGGGGAGCGGCGTGGAACATGCAAGGCCACCATTTACAGCATTTAGCAAGAGCCTCTAAAACTCAGTATCTGGTGACTGCCTGTTCTGCCTCCCAGCAAACTCAGATCTCCTGATGCAGCAGCTAGTTGCTAAACCCTGAAAATGAGGGAGAAAATGAGACTCCAGGGCCATGTGGATTTGTTTCTTCCCAAGCAAACAGGAAGTGTATCTCTCACCTTCTAAAGAGTGATTGCATCCAAGCAGGAACAGCACTGTGTCTTGATCCCTACAGTCCTGAGCCTAGGTCCTGGTAAGTAATAAGGAATGAATGAATGTCTGGAGGACTTACTGAAACAGCCAATGGGAACCTTGAAGCCAATGAAGCTAGTAAAAGAAAGTATAAGTTGTTCAGTCGTGTCAGACTCTTTGCAACCCTATGGACTGTAGCCCGTCAGGCTCCTCTGTCCATTGAATTTCCCCAGCAAGAATCCTAGAGTAGGTAGCCATTCCCTTTTCCAGGAGATCCTCCCAACCAGGAAGTGAACCCACGTTTCCCATATTACAGGCAGTTTCTTTACTGTCTGAGCCACCAGTGAGTGATGAAGCTAAGGTGTAACTATGTGTAAGGAGGTAGGGTACTGGGCACTAAGAACTGCTTGCCACTAACCAAGGTGACACTGGGCTTTTAAAGAGAACGAGTGAGTGTATGTATTTCTCAGGCATTATCTATCTCTATTCCTGAGAGAATAGACAAATCTCTTCTTTTTTAATGCCATGTATGAACTCTTCTTTCAGAATCTTGTGCATTCTGATGTACCACAAGAATATTAATGGCAAGAAAACGCTATTTTGGTGAAATCCTTCCATGCCCTTTAGAGACTAGCTTCCAAAACCATTAGCAGACTTGGAGTGACTGTCTCTCCCACCCAGGCACAAAGGCTATGGAGCCCTCACCCTTGACCTTAGTCCAGGGGACCCAGATAGCCAAGTCCCAGCTCCTTCTTCCTATGCCTTTCTAGCCAAGACTGGGGGTATGGGGGGCGGTGACAGGAAGCCACAGCCCAGAAAAGGGCTTTCCTGGGGACTGCTCACCTGCGTTGCTCCCCCCAACCTCCTCGACCTGCTTCCTACCATGTTGGGGAGAAAAATGGAGTCTGGGCTGAGGTCACTTCCCTGGGGAGGTATGGCCTATGACAGAAGGGGCCAGCAACCTGATGGTACCCCCCACCCAAGGATGGCAGGATCTCTGAGCCTTGCTACATAGGGGAAGCAAGTCCTCGACCTGCTAGGCCTTCTAGGAAAAAAACAATAACCATTTGAAAAGTCATAAAAACATATATTTAAGTGCACATTTGTTTTTTTCCCTTTTGGCTTAGGGTCCAATATGGCTTGCATAGCATTGTGGGATCCCATTTTTGCCTAAGACATCATTATTTTGTTCACCATGGGGTTTTTGAATTTTTTTTAAAAAAATATTGCACTAAAATATCACTCATCTTGATTACTGAGGGTTTTTTTTTCCATACTTCCTTGAATTTTGTGTCCCAGGTGAGTACGTCTCTTACCTCACCTTAATCTTAGCTATGACAGAGCAACTTCACACTTCTGGTCTTTTCATTAGGTCATAACTGGACCAAGTCCAAAAAGAAGGAAAATGCAATAGGATAGCAGAAGCAAATACAGTCTCCTTGAAACTCCAACTAGGCTTCCCAGATGGCTCAGTGGTAAAGAATCTGCCTGCCAATGCAGTAGACATAGGTTCCATCCCTGGGTCCGAAAGATCCCCTGGAGGAGGAAATGGCAACCTCCTCCAGTATTCTTCCCCAGAAAATCCTGTGGACAGAGGAGCCTGGTAGGCTACAGTCCATAGGGTTGCAAACAGTCAGACGTGACTGAAGTGACTGGGCATGCATGAAACTCCTACCAGCTTTCAGATTTGAAACAAGTAGCCCATTTGAGGGAGAAATAGAGACAAACATGAATTAGGATCAAATGCCTTTATAAACTTTACCTATGTCAACAGGTACGGTTCTCTTGTAAATAGAAATGAGAGTTCTGTCTTTATCCATTCAACCGGAATTTAAACTTTCTACTTATTGAATGTCATACTAGACCCTGGGTAACAAGGATGTAAAAGACAGAGTTTACAGCCTGGTATGTAGCAACAGACTCTAGTATTCTTGCCTGGAGAATCTCCAAGGACAGAAGAGCCTGGCAGGCTACAGTTCATGGGGTCACAAAGAGTCAGACACGACTGAGCGACTAAGAATGAGAGAGAGAGACATGGAATAACTGACCTGAATCCAATTCAGTAAATGCTCTAAATATGTGCACAAATAGTTTGGAAGCATAGACATATAAGCACAAAGGGTTTTTTGTTTGTTTGCTTCAGTTTGGGTTTTTGCTGGGTGGGTCTCTCATTCGTACTGTGGGATTTCAGTTTATGGCGGTGACTGACACCATGACAAGATCAGTGCCATGGAAAGAAGTTTTTGTTTTGTTTTTTTTAAATTACATTTCCCTAGAGAAAGGGGCACACCATGCCATGAAGGGTCCCCATGGAAGCATCAGGTTTGTGTCAGGAGGCAAAAGCAGGAGCAAGAGGCAAATTTAGGCCAGAGACTGTATCTGAGTTTGCACTGGGCAGGGCAGAGTAAACAGCTTGAAAAGTAAAGTGAAAGTGTTAGTTGCTCAGTCGTGTCTGACTCTTTGTGACCCCACGGACTGTAGCCTTCCAGGCTCCTCTGTCCATGGAATTCTCCAGGGGAGAATACTGGAGTGAGTAGCCATTCCCTTCTCCAGGGGATCTTCCTGACCCAGGACAAACAGCCTGGGACTGGCTGATCTGAACAATAAATGGGGGTCTTCGGACTATTGGGGGTGTTCTCTCATTGCCTGAGATGACACAGGGCAGGGGAAGTAGTGGCTCTGTGTGTGAGAGGGTTAGATAAAGGGGGTGGTTGGCTTGCATATGAGAGGTGTGTCCAAGTTGTTTGTTATCTTTAGGAACTAGCTAGCCCTGGGAGGTCAGTCTATCTCTAGCTAGCAAGATTTTTAGGATGTCAAAACATCATAAGTACATGTAAATCCATGGCTAATTCATTTCAATGTATGACAAAAACCACTGCAATGATGTAAAGTAATTAGCCTCCAACTAATAAAAATAAATGGAAAAAAAACATCATAAGATACAGAATATTAAAAAAACAATTAATACAGTGGGAGTGGGGGAGGAAAGGGGTTATAAATATTAGACAAAACCATAATTATAAGGCCTTAATGGTATGGTTGCCAACATCCACTGGATCATAGACAAAGCAAGAGAATTCCAGAAAAACATATATTTCTACTTCATTGATTACACTAAAGCCTTTGACTGTGTGGATCACAACAAACTGTGGAAAATTCTTAGAGGTGGGAATACCTGACCACCTGACCTGCCTCCTGCGAAACCTGTGTGCAGGTCAAAAAGCAACAGTTAGAACTGGACATGGAACAATGGGCTGGTTCTAAATTGGGAAAGGAGTACGTCAAGGCTGTAATATTGTCACCCTGCTTATTTAACTTATATGCAGAGTGCATCATGTGAAATGCCGGGCTGGATGAAGCACAAGCTGGAATCAAGATTGCTGGGAGAAATATCAATAAACTCAGATATGCAGATAACACCACCCTTATGGCAGAAAGCGAAGATCTAAAGAGCCTCCTGATGAAGGTGAAAGAGAAGAGTGAGAAAGCTGGTTTAAAACTCAACATTCAAAAAATGAAGACCATGGCATCCTGTCCCATCACTTCATGGCAAACAGATGGGAAAACAATGGAACCAGTGAGAGATTTGATTTACTTGGGCTCCAAAATCACTGCAGATGGTGACAGCAGCCATGAAATTAAAAGACACTTGTTCCTTGGAAGAAAAGCTATGACAAACCTAGACAGTATATTAAAAAATAGAGATGTTACTTTGCCAACAAAGGTCTGTATAGAGAAAAAGGCTATGGTTTTTCCAGTAGTCATGTATGGATGTGAATGTCGGACAATAGAGGAAACTGAGTGTCGAAGAATTGATGCTTTTGAACTGTGGTGTTGGAGAAGACTCTTGAGAGTCCCTTGGACTGCAAGGAGATCAAACCAGTCAATCCTAAAAGAAATCAACCCTGAATATTCATTGGTAGGACTGATGCTGAAGCTGAAACTCCAATACTTTGGCACCTGATGCGAAGAATTGACTCATTAGAAAAGACCTTGATGCGGGGAAAGATAGAAGGCAGGAGGAGAAGGGGACGACAGAGGATGAGATGGCTAGATGGCATCACCAACTTGATGGACATGAGTTTGAGCAAGCTCTGGGAGCTGGTGATAGGGAAGCCTGGCGTGCTTCAGTGTGTGGGGTTGCAAAGAGTTGGACATGACTGAGCAACTGAACTGACTAAATGGTATGGTGAATTGAGGAAATGGAGTATTTTGTTGTTGGGGAGGCGGGTGGGATGGGAAGGGTAGAATCATTTCCGCTTTTCCAAAGAGTAGGCAACTTTCTCCAGAATGTGGCCAAGATTGTAAAACTTGGTGATGGATGTATGTACAGGCTTGTACAGGTTGTTAAAAAATTAATATTTTTTAATATCTAGCCAGTCATTTACACAAATCTTTATGGGCATCCATAAACCACTTTAGGGGACAGATGGTAGCGCTGAGTAAACAGTTACATGGGCTTTCCTAGTAACTCGGCGGTAAAGAATCTGCCTTCAGGAGATGCAAGAGACCTGGGTTTGATCCCCGGTCAGGAAGATTCCCCCCATGGCAATCTGCTCAAGTATTCTTGCCTGGAGAATCCCATGGACAGAGGAGCGAGGCTGGATGCAGTCTATAGAGTTGCAAAAAGTTGGACATGACTGAAGCCAGTGAGCATGCATGCATGAAAACAGGCTCATAGAACTTAGGCATAATTAACTAGCTCACCATTCCACTTCTAGTAAACAACAGATGTGTGAAGTCCAGGTCTGACTGAACTCCCTCAAGCTCTTCACACCACATTGCACTGGAAAAGAAACAGAAAAGAAGAAATCTTGTAAGTGATCTGTTCCTTAGCTCACAGTCCAGGACATGTCTCCCATCTCCACTTTAATACCTTCTTGTCAAAGCTAAAGAGCGACTATCAGTGCTTCAACCAAGCCCACTGAGGCCTCACCCCCCCCCCCTTCACATCTTAAGTACCTAACCCTCTGAAAATAAATCTTGGCAAAAAAAAAAAAAAAAGAAATTATTATACACTTGCATCACCCTAAAAAGTTGGAAAACAACCGTGACGACCGAAGTGGGAGCACCAAATAGATTCAGACCCTGTGCACCTTTACTTGGGAGGGGTTTAAAATTATGCCCTCGGTGACCATTTCCTTACTTTGGAGGAGCCTTCCACCGGCGCCTCTAGTTGATTCCCAACTCTGCCGCCTACAGAGTGGACAAGGCTCCTGCCGTGTGTGAGCGACACGCCGGGTCAAGGAGGCTAAAGAGAGAAACGAGGGATTTCCCGGTCGGAAAACGAAGAGAAACAATGGATTTGGGGGCCAAAGGCAGAGAGAGAATTTACTGTGAGGTTTGAGGTCACGCTTCAAGGATAGCGGATGTAAAATCTCTCGTGAGGGGCGAGAGTGACCCAATCAAATTTGGTAATAAACTCTCAAAGAGGTCCGGACTGGGCAGGTTTAGGGATCGGAATGGGAGGAGGGCGCCCGGGGATCTAAGGGAGGGCACAGGGGCCACCCGGCAGAGCTAGAGTACCTCGGGTGAGCCGGGTCCCGAGGCACGCGCGCTCGGCCTGCAAGGCAGAAGGCGGAGCCTTCCGGGGAACCGCCCATCGGGCCGCCCTGTGGGCGGGGCTATCCTGCTCTCCTGTCGATTACATAACAAACCTGTGCCGGTGGCGGGGGAGCGGCGCGGGCTGAGGAGGAGGGGGCGTGGCCGGGGCGTGGCCGGGGCGTGGCCAGGCCTGCACCGGGCCAGGCAAGATGGCGGCCGTGGATACCGAGTCGGCACCCCTGACCCTAGAATCGCTGCCCACAGACCCCCTGCTCCTCATCTTATCCTTCTTGGACTACCGGGACCTAATCAAGTAATGGGACGAGGCACATGGCAGGGGTGGGGGTCGCGGGTAAGGGAGGAGGCGTAAGGCAGGAAGGACGGGGGCCCGGCTCGCCGACCCAACCTGGACTCGGGTGTCAGTTAGAAGGTGACGCCAGGGCCACCCTGATCCTGCAGGGTCCCCCGGAGGGCCGGGGTGAGACCGCGGCGGAAGGGGCCCCGCCTTGAGGTCTTCCTCGCGTCCGGGGCCCAGGCCTGAGGAACGACAAGAGCCCTCTGTCCTGGGCCTCAGCGAGGCCCAGTTGGAAGCGGGGAGATACTGCTCCCCGCTGCCGGCCCACGGACCCCCGCGGCCCGCACCTCCGGACCCCCGGCGTCTCTGCCCGATTCCGGAAGCCTTGGCCGCTTTGAAAAAGTCTCCGTCCCGGCGGCAGAGCACTCTCCTCTCTCTGCCTGGGCCGGAGGCCTTCGGAGTCGGGCGCCAAAGTGGGCCAGTGGGACGCGGGAGAGGAGCCCGGCGACCCCCTCACCCCGGGGTGCGACTTCTGCGGCAACGTTATATCTTGCAGGTTCACTTTCAGACTTCTCTGCTGGGTAATTGTTTCGTTTTCAGCCTTCCTCCTCACGGTTGCATGTTGGATTTTGTTTTGGTACTGACTTCCGGTGGCGCGATACAGGTGACCATCTTCCCTCCTGTATGCTTTGGGTTTCCCAAGTTGCCCGCCTCCGTTCCAAAAATAAACACCGGTTGCTGGTAGGGGTTGGTAATGCCGGGTTCCTTCAGCGCTCGGGACTGCCTGGAAGGGTGGAAGAAATGGCGCTGTTTACACCCTTGACAGCTGGTGGCATGCCTCTTTCTTGGGCCACCACATATATTTGCAGAGGAGGCAAAGTCGCCCTCTTAAGGATAGGTAGGAGAGATTCGTTTTGTTTTGTTTTGTTTTGTTTTGTTTGATTAACCATTGGATTCTAGCAGTTTGGTGACTGTACCCTGTGTTGTCAGGGATCCTTGTAGACTTGTAGCTTTCTTGAAGTTAGTGGCAGCTGTTGGTTTGTCTAGCTAAGTGGTGACAGAGACATAACTCCAATTTCTGGCTACTATGTATATTAATACCTGTAACACTTATTTTTCTAGAAAACAATTTTTTCTCTACTCACGCTTGTAATAATGTTTGTCTTTTCTTTGGAAAAGTCTGTTCCAGCTGCAGACTTTCATCTGAAATATTGTGTTGCTATAGCCTTTTAGAAATCTAACACTACACACACTCTTTTGATCTAATGGGCTACATTGCTCCCAGAGTGATCTTTCTAAGACAGATCCTAAAAATCTTGTAATGCCCCTCGTTATTTACAGATTATAACCTAAACTTCAGGGAGCATTTAAGGCCCTTATTATTGGACATAGTCCACTCTAGCCAAATTGACCTCAGCCAGCATACCACACTTGTGCTTTTTTTGTTCTGTGGCTTAATCTCTTGACCTTGCCTGGAATGCCGTGCTCCCCTCTTCTCATCCTAGCGAGATGAATTCCTTTAAGACCCCTTCTCCTGAGTCCGATCTCTACCTTTCTTCCTCCCATTGCAGAGTTCATTGACCACACCAGATAGATTGTGGATTTCTCAAACATACAGACTGTGTTGTTTGTCTTTGTAGTTGCCATTTATTCAACAGGTTTTTGCTTTTGTTTTTTTGAGTGTTTCTGTGTGCCAGCCTATTGAATGCTGGGGAAACAATAGTGAACAAGACACATAAGGACCCTCTTATAAGCTCTTACAGTCTAGTGGACAAGATGGAGAGCAAGCAAGTGCATAATTATAAGAGCTGCTGTGTGCTATGAAGGAAATGAATCAGTGACTCTGTTAAGGAGCTGATTCAGACTGGAAGGAGCTGCCATGTATGATAGACAGCATAGAACAGTCCTGGCAGAAGGAACGGTGTTTTCAGGAGCTGACTGGAGGATAGCAGAGCCTGTTGGAAAAGCTAGAAGACTGGTGTTGCAGGAGGTAGGGAGTGACTCACAGGCAGAGAGGCTGAGCAGAGACTGGTGAGATCATGAAGGACCTTGTAAAACAAGGTGAGGAGTTCAAATTTATTATAAATGTTTTAGGTTGTAATCAAAGTTTTAAACAAAAGTGACATGATCCCTCTGTAAATGTTTGTAGAAGTAAACTGAGTTGAATACTGTATTAGTCAGGGTTCTTGAAGGAAGCAGAACCAGTATGTGTGTGTGTGGCTTATTTTAAGGTATTTGCCCATGAATTGTAGCGGCTCTTTCCTATAGGCTGCCATGTGGAAGGTGGAGACCCAAGAAAGCTGGTGGTAGAGTTTGAAGGGAGCTGGAGAAGTGATTCCAGTCTCGGTCTAAAAGCCTGAGAACCAGGAGTGCCAAAGGCGGGATAAGATCAGTGTCCCAAATTAGTGGTCAGGCAGAGAGCAAATTCAACCTTTCTTTGCCTCTTTGTTCTATTCAGGCCCTCGATGGATCGGATGATGCCCACCTGTATTGGGGAGGGCTGTTTGGCTAACTTAGTCCACCAGTTCGAAGGCTCATCTTTTCCGGCATCATCTTACAGACACATCAGGAAATAGTGTTTAACCAGCTATCTGGGCATCCCTTAGCCCAAACAAGTTGACACAAATGCCTTCAATTTTATCCACAGAAGTTTCTGTGACTTCTTTTCTGTAGTATGTAGCCCAGATTTTTCAAGTGTCCCGCCCATTTGGGTTGGATTGATTAGTCCATTGGGATCATTGTGTAATGTAAACTGCACAGTTTGAGTCTCACTGCATATCGGAATTATATGTGGCACTTTAAAAATATACATATCTTGCCTGACTTCACCCCATGCTGACTGAGTCAGAAGCTCTAGGACAGTAGTTTTCATCCTTGATGTGCATCAAAAATCACCTCTGGTGCACATTCCAGAGATCTTTTTATGTTGTTTAACTCTTGGGATATTGAGGGAGAAGGACCTAAAAAAGAGATAGGGGACTCTTGAATTCACAAAATTGGAGGGATTCCTAGTTTTGCAAATGTTAGTTTGGGCGTCTCCCGAGAGTGACTGAAAAGGATGAGAATGATGTTTGTGTAAAATCTGAAAAATGAACAAAGCCTATTCTGTTTAGCATCAGTTGTTTTTTAACATGCCCCACTCATGGCCTTGACAAATCCTTTGTGATTTAAGATTCCCTTAATTGATTAGTTATTGCCCAAGTAAAATCTTTTAATACCTACCTACTTTCTCTAACTTGTAATTTCCCTTCTGAAAGGATAGAAATCCATTTTTTTAAAATCTTAAGTTCATTCTTTTTTGAATTAATTATATAGGGAAGGATTTACAGGAATCAAGCACTATTGTGTTAGAAATCTCTATATAATAAGAAAATTGTTTCTAATATTTCATATTTTTAAGCGGTTGACACTAAGTTGAAAAGCTGTGGATATTGAATCAGAACAGTTGTGAATCTAACATCTTTTATAAGTGGGTTTTCCAATAATTCCTCTAATGGAAAAGTGTTTTTGGCTACATATTCCTGTTAAGAAAAAAAATTAGAACAAACAGAAGCCCTGTGTAGTTGATATCAAATGTCTCACAGATCTTAAAAAGAAAAAAACACTGTTCACATCTGAGTAACATTTCTATTTGTAGAAATGATTACTGCCCCAATAATGAGTATAGGAAACTCTTTATTTAAAATAACTCCAATGGTTTATATGTTTCATAGACTTTTGTGTGAAAGTTAAAATTGTAGACATTTTGCAGTGTGTTTGTGAACTCAAATAGTTAAGATTTCACCACTCACTCACAAGGTAATTATACTAGCTAACACGTTAAACAGGTTTTAGAAAATACTGTTTTGCAGTTATAAGGGTAGATAGTGGAAGAAAAGCAAAAGGAACAGAACAGAACATTAACTCTTTTCATCTTCATTTCTAAATTGCTTTCTTGTTTTCTTTTACACTAACCCTGAATCTGGTTACTGCCAGCTGTTGCTATGTCAGTCGAAGACTCAGCCAGCTCTCAAGTCATGATCCGCTGTGGAGAAGACATTGCAAAAAATACTGGCTGATATCCGAGTGAGTATTTGGGGAACATGTAATTCTTGAAATTGGACTCTTGGCTTTCATTAGTGCTAGTCTAGCCTGATTCTCCTCTCTAAGCCTTGTCTCTTTAACACCTTTGATGGCTCTTCTTGTGCCTGCCAGGAAAAGCAGGTGTTCTCCAAGCTTCTGTCCTTGGCTGACTGCTCTTCTCCCTCTGTGAAGTCTCCTGCATGCACTGCTGCAGTTTGTAGAGATGACTTGTATACTTCTAACTCCCAAACCTGAGTGTCCACCCCAGACATTGCCATTGAACCCCAGATTTGTTTGCATAACTGTCTGCTGGACCTTTCCACTGGATGACCCACGGGTTCACTGAATTCAGTAAATTTTAATTAATTTGATAGAATAAAAGTGTAGATGACAAAAGGTGGGAGTTGGAAAAGGTGGGAAAAAAGGGTAGGATTGCTAATATCTTTTTCTGAGGTTGAGGGGAGTCAGGTGGTAACTGAAGTTGGTGAAGCAAGAAACAGAGGTTTAAAAATATTCGAAGCTAAGCTATTGACTGGAACTAAAAATAACAGAGCCTCTAAACATTGGGAGGAGAAAGAATGAGGAAGAAGGAGTTTTAAGTATTGCTTCATCCTGACCTTTTATTGATTCTTTGGGGTATCAGTAGATAGATATAAAATTGATAAATCAAGAACTAGAGGAATAGGGACTTCCCTGGTGATCCAGTGGCTAAGAATCTGCCAGCCAACGTAGGGGACATAGGTTCAATGCCTGGTCCAAGAAGACCCCACATGCTGTGGAGCAGCTAAGCCCAAGTGCCACAACTGCTGAGCCTGCGTGCTACCATTCCTGAGGCCACTCGCCACGACTGCTGGAGCCCATGTGCTTGAGAGCCTGTGCTTGGCAACACGAGAAGGCACTGCAGTGGAAGTCGTCACACCACAGCTAGAGAGGAGCCCCCGCCCACCTCAACTATGGAAAGCCCAGACGCGGCAGCAAAGACTCGGTGCGGCCCAAAATTTAAAAAATTAGAAAACAGCTAGAGGAATAAGCATTTAGAATTAGAGAGATACCTTCCAGAAGTAAGTAAAGTTTCCCTTGAGGAGTTGACTTAGGAGACTGCCTCGCTTTTCATTATAAGTTCTTTGGTACTTTTTGGTTTTAATAATATGTGCATTACTTAGATGAATAAAAGGTTACTTCCTTCCTACCACTCCCCTCACCCCAAAAAACACACACATATGTACATACAACACCCTAAATTGTTCTTCTCCCCATCCCTAAACCTGATCCTCCTGCATTCCTGCCGTCATAGCAGTACCATCCATCCTGGCATCCAAGCCAGAGAGAGGAATCATCCTACATCTCTTCTCTCCTTCCCTCCCTCCTTTCTGATTGTAGCCCCTGTATGTTTCTTGAATCTTTCTTCTCATTCCATTTAGCCACCACACCTTTAGTTCCGTTCATCATCCCTTACCAAGGCTGCTGCAGAACCTTTCCAGCCGGTCTCTGAACCTCTGGTATACACCCCTCCCAAACCACAGCTGCAGGTCCGCTCTTCTCACTGCCCCGTTTCAGCTCTTCAGTGGCTCTCTATTCACTGCAGGATAAGGTCCAAGCTGCTAGTATGTTACCCTAAAGCTTTTTCTGGCTGCGTTATCCTCTCCTACTTCTGACTCTTAAATTTATATTTCACTTTTTCTCCCTGATTAGACTACATTCTTTGAAGGCAAAAAATGTGCCTTATTTCCAGTGTCCTCAGTGGCTAAATAGACAGTAAATGTCTGGAATTGTACCAAACAGAAATGTTGAATTTTGATTCCTTTGCTGTGCTATATTGATTCTCTGGTTAATCCAATGTAGATAAATTAGATTAATATAGCCTATCATTAGTTTCTAAATGTTCTCTAAAATAGAAAAGCTAAATATATATTTTAAAATTTTATAATTGGTATGTTTTTAGGAGTAAGTTGAAATTCATATCCCATATGTTATTCATATTATATCTTATTAAGGATTAGAAAACTTACAAAAATAATAAATAGAAAGTAAAAAAATAAGTGACTCATAATCCCACTATTCCAGGAATAACTTTTTAAACTTTTTGATGTATGTGTCACTGTTTATTATCTAGTCTTCATTTGTAGCTAAAATAAATGAAAAGGAAGACAAAAGTAGCCACAGATTCCCAATAAAGTATGTTGGTAAGTGTCTAAAATATATGCTAATTTCATTGTAAAAGATTTTTAATTTTATTTTTTAAATCTGTTTAGGGAAGAGAAAACACAGAAGAACCAGTGTTGGAAATCCCTCTTCATTGATACTTACTCTGATGTAGGAAGATACATTGACCATTACGCTGCTATTAAAAAGGCCTGGGATGATCTCAAGAAATACTTGGAACCCAGATGTCCTCGGATGGTTTTATCTCTGAAAGGTATTGGGAATGCAGGGTCTCCCTTCTTCATTTTAGTTACTCTAGTATAAATAGGTTAAATAACTTTGAGTTTCTATCTCCTTTGCTGATCTGTGCTAATCCAACATTATCTGTAATTCATCATTCACATTTGGTCAAGGAAATCGGAAGCCCAATTTGCTAAGAGGACTCTGGTTCTAGTCCTTGCCCTATTTTTGCCTACCTCAGCACCCACGTGATTCTTTCTTAGAAGGGAAGGCTGAACTCATTTGATTTTTATGTTTGTTTTACATGAAGAAACTAGTAATGCTAAAATTGCTTGAGGATACCTATTGTAATTTCTTTGAAAAGACTTTTATTTTTAATTGAAGAGTTACCTGCTTTATCAACCCTCTTCCCTGTTTTCAGTACAAGTAAGTGTTTATTTGACAGCCTGATATTAGAAAAGACCAAATATTGACAGACTGGGTTTTGAAGCATCTGAAGAGCAGCGTATTAGAATGGGGAAAACTTTCATCCCTACTTTGACATTTACAGAATAATGAAACTGAGATTTGAAGTGAGGTTTCTTTGACCCCAGAATCTGTGCTGTGTCTACCATACTATTGTCCAATTTTGGCAAGAAATATTAACAAGCCATTTCCCATTACTTTGATTTTTAAATTTATGCCCAAGAAATACATAAATGGATTGGAGGTGCTACTTATCTGCTTTAGCCTCCAATTTTTTTCAGGTTGTTCCACTAAAAGAAATTTTATATGTATTTTGGTTTTGCTAAGCTGAAGATGGAATTAGTCCTTCTCAAATGTATTCCTTTTGAACTGAAGTCTCTTTTGAAAAAGCATTCCTTTTACGTTTCATATTTCTGCTGTACTTTTCCATGCAAATATGAATTTCATACAATCATGATTGCATGACCAGTTACTTAAAACTGAATTGCAAGGAAGTAGAAGAAAGAATAATTTGATAGCGACGGTAGAGCTTTGAAGGAGAGTACCTTGATTAATATTTTTATTAGTTTCTTTTCTTGAAAGAAAAGAAAAATATCATCTGCTTCGTATGTGGGGTTGAAAAATTTCAAGAGGAAAATAATTCCGAAAATAGGTAATTTGGTGGTGATATGTAAAATATGTAAGGGTTAGTGGACTTCCTGGGTGGCGCTAGTGGTAAAGAACTTGCCTGCTAATGCAGGAAATGTAAGAGATGCAGGTTTGATCCCTGGGTTGAGAAGATCCCCTTGAGGAGGAAATAGCAACCCACTCCAGTGTTCTTGCCTAGAGAATCCCATGGACAGAGGAGCTTGGCAGGCTACAGTCCATAGGGTCTCAGAGTCCTATGTGACTGAAGTGACTTAGCATGAAGCAAGCATGCAGTAGCTAGTATTTGTTAAACACAAAGCTAGGCGCTAAGCTAAGTACTGTATATTATTCCATTTAAATTGCCAAAATCCTGTGAGGTAGGCAATTACTATTCTCATTTTATAGGTGAGTTACCTGAGGCAAAAAAATCTTAAGTAAGTTGTTTGCCATTACACAGCCAAGGTTGAGCCAGGATTTGAATACAGGACTGATGCCAGGGCTGCAGTCTTCACAGCTGTTGAAGGAAGAGAGGACCTATTCTGTTTAGGTTGTCTTAGCATTCTTAGAGACTAGTCTAATATTAGGGTATTTGGACTATGAGAATATATTTGTTGTTCTCCTTTGAGGCACGGAGCTACCAGGAAAGGAAGAAACTAAGGGTACATAGCAGCCTCTTCCTTTTTTCTTTTATAGTTTTTTAGGGGGGCACTCAGTTGGTATTCCCAGGCTCCCTGCTCACAGTTGTGTTCTTAGTAGTTGAAGGTGAGGTTGTCAGAGAATTCCTTAACAGCCCCTGTTTTACTCCCAGGTGCCAGTTCTCTGGGGTCTTTGCTATGAGTTGGAATAGGACAAATGCTCTGAAATCTAGAAAATTGGGGATTCTATTCATGTAGACCTTTGAGTTTTAGGACTGAGTCAGGAACTTAGCTATTCATCTCAGGGGCCATAGTCCCTGACTCAATTTCAAAGGTAGGGAGATTACAGATAGGAAACTTGGAAAGCAGATAGGCATTGGGCTTGGGAACATTTTTATTAAGTATCTTGGAATTATAGTATCCTGGCATGTTGTTGTTCAGTCACTCAGTCATGTCTGACTCGTTGTGACCCCATGACTGCAGCATGCCAGGCTTCCCTGTCCTTCACCATCTCCTGGAGTTTGCTCAGACTCATGTCCATTGAGTCAATAATGCCATCCAACCATCTCGTCCTCTGTCGTCCCCTTCTCCTCCTGCCTTCAATCTTTCCTAGCATCAGGGTCTTTTCCAGTGAGTTGGCTCTTCGCATCAGGAGGCCAAAGTACTGGAGTTTCAGCTTCAGCATCAGACTTTCCAATGAATATTCAGGGTTGATTCCTTTTAGGATTGACTGGTTGGATCTCCTTGCAGTCCACGGGTCTCTCAAGAGTCTTCTCCAGCACCACAGTTGGAAGCATCATTTCTTCCCCACTCAGCCATTTTTATTGTCCAGCTCTCACATCCATACATGACTACTGGAAAAACCATAGCTTTGACTAGATGGACCTTTGTAGGCAAAGTTATATCTCTACTTTTTAATATGCTGCCCAGGTTTGTCATAGCTTTTCTTCCAAGGAGCAAGTGTCTTTTAATTTCATGGCTGCAGTTACCATCCACAGTGATTTTGGAGCCCTATAAAATAAAGTCTGTCACTGGTTCCATGGTTTCCCCATCTGTTTGCCATGAAGTGATAACCAGATGCCGTGGTCTTTTGTTTTTTGAATGTTGAGTTTTAAACCAGCTTTCTCACTCTCCTCTTTCACCTTCATCAAGAGGCTCTTCAGTTCCTCTTTGCTTTCTGCCATAAGGGTAGCGTCATCTGCATATCTGAGTTTATTGATATTTCTCCCAGCAATCTTGATTCCAGCTTGTGCTTCATCCAGCCTGCATTTCGCATGATGCACTCTGCATGTAAGTTAAATAAGCAGGGTGACAGTGTACAGCCTTGACGTACTGCTTTCCCGATTTGGAACCAGTCTGTTCTTCCATGTCCAGTTCTCACTGTTGCTTCCTGACTTGCACACAGGTTTTGCAGGAGGCAGGTCAGGTGGTCTGGTATTCCCATCTCTTGAAGAATTTTCCATAGTTTGTTGTGATCCATGCAGTCAAAGGCTTTAGCGTAGTCAATGAAGTAGAAGTAGAATGTTTTTCTGGATTTCTCTTTGCTTTTTCAATGATCAAAAGATGTTGGCAATTTGATCTCTGGATCCTCTGCCTTTTCTAAATCCAACTTGTACATCTGGAAGCTCCCAGTTGCCATCTGTCTAATGGTATATATCATATGTCTTTGAAGTTCATATTAACCTTAAATGTTGACTTAACATATTTTGAGTCCAGGGACTTAGAGATCATTTTGACCAAGGATTAGCAGGCTTTTTCTTTAAATGACCAGCTAGTAAATACTTTAGGCTTTGATAGGTAGATGGCCTTTGTGACAGCTGTTCAGGTCTGCTATTGTGGGAAAGCAGCCATAGACAATTCAACAACAAATGGGTGTGGCAGTGTTCCAAGAAAACTTTATTTAGGGAAGGAGGCGGCATTTGGCCTGCAGGCTGTAGTTTGTGGATCTCTGATTTATAACAGCCCTCTTCTTTTTGTAGGTAAAGGAACAGTCTCGGAGAGTTGAGGTAACTTAACGCAGGGTCCTATAGCTGGTGAGGAACAGAGATAAACTCTAGAACTCTAGGCCTCTTGACTCCTAGTAATTTTTTCACCGCTTCCTCACGCAAATAGGCTGGGGGCCAGGAAAGCACTTTATTAAATACTTGCAAGTTACTTAATCCTCTCTCTAATTCTCTGTAGGTGGTTATCATCTTCTATTTTGCAGAGGAGGAAACTGGATTAAAGAGATGAAATAACTTGCCAGAGATCACAGTCAGTCTAGTCATACCACGGTATCCACAGGGGATTGGTTCCAGGGTTCACTGAGGATATCGAAATCCAAAGATGCTCAAAGTCCCATAGTTGACCCTTAGTATCCTTGTGTTCCACAACCGTGGATACAGAGGGCCAGCCGTAATTGGTAGAGCTGAGATTTGACCCTGGTCTGTCTGGCTCCCAAATTCTGTCAGGGTAGGATGCCCCTCTAAAACATATTTCCTTATATTTGTCTTTCACCATGTTTCCTTGTCATTTTATTTTATTTTTTTCTGTCTTGCTATTTCTTTGCAAGAAATGCTTGGTTTCTTAATGTTACATGTTAAATGTCCAACATGTAGCGCTAACCATATAAATTTTAGTAATTTTTTTCTCATTCAGCTTCTGGTTCAGATAGCTATTCAGCTTGTTTACTTTCATACTGAACTTTAAAAAAAATAAACTTTTTTGTAGTGATTTACATTACAAGACAGTTGCAAAGATAGCACAAAGAGTTCCTGTGAACCTGTCAGCCAGCTTTAGTTTCCCCTAACATACCATCCTGTGGGACATTTGTCAAACTAAAGTCTTCACTGGCACATTACTGCTCACCAAACTCTGGACTTTATTTGGAATTCCTCAGATTTTCCATCAGTGGGATCCTTTTTCAGTTGCCTTTCAGATTCTTTTTCATTTAGTTGCCATGTGTCTCCTCACTGTCCTCTGGCCTGTGGAAATTTCCCAGCCTTTCCTTATCTTTCACAGCTTTGACTTTGAAGCAGTACTGGTCAGGTATTTTGCAGGATGTCCCTCAGACTGACTTTGTCTAAAGTATTACTCATGATTAGACTGGACTAAGGGGTTTTCAGGTTACTACTGAGGTGAACTGTTTCTTTTATCACTTAGCTGGAGGTGTGTGATATCCACAGGCTATCACTAGTGATGTTAACCAACCTAGAGAAATGTGCACAGATCATAAGTATACAACTCAGTAAACTGTTGCAATGTGAACTTGCCCATTGTAACACCCTTCAGGTCATAAAGTAGAATAATTACCTAGAACCCTCTCTTT